TATCTGCTTCTTCCTTTCAGGGTCACGGGGGGGAGGGGGGTCACTAGTGCCTATATGCAGTCACAGTGTGAGGGACGGGGTACACCCTGGACAGGTTGCAAGTCCATCACAGGGACACATAGAGACAACCATTCACTCTCACTCACATTTAGGGACAATTTAGAATTACCAGTTAACCTAACAGTTATGTTTTCAGATGACCACAACAATAATAGTAATAAAAAAGATCTTATATCTGCACATTTAAAAAAATGTATTTCTTTTTGGAAATCATCTCAAAACTTGATGCTTTGCAACCCAGTGGGATCCTGACTCCAGCTTTGGGAACCACTATATTTGTTTACTTTATTATTCAGCCAATTACAAACATGTGCACTTAAAAAAATTAGAATCATAAATTTCTACATCTATGTTATACAAAAACAAAACATTGAAGATGCTGCACAATGTGATACAACTGCCTTTCTTTTACCTAAAACACTCACAAAGCAAATGAAGTACATTTTCCACTAGTGCTTTTAACTGATGTATGGTTTTCTTTATTTTGTTCTGTCACAAATCACACAGAATATTCCTCTGAAAAACAATTATGGATTTAATTTGAGCCATTCTGAGAAAAACAATTCTTGTAAACTGAATACCACAGCTGCATGAATTTATACAAATGACCAGTTTTACATTTTTTCCTGAAGTCAGACAAAGTAATATTGTGCACAATAGTCCCAGGAGTTCAATTAAAATGAAATATATTTTTTGTCATTTTTAATTATTTTTTTAAAAACTTTTGTCACAAAGGTCAACAAAGCACAACATGACTGCCTCAATTCACTGCGTCTAAGCTGAGAAGCTCCAGATGGGAGTCAAACTCATGACCTACTTGCAACAGTGCTAACCACCATGCAATCCTCATCATGAATCATACAAGTATACAACTATTTATTTGTTCGAAATTTGTTTTATCCAAAAAGTGATCACCCTCATCTTCCTAAAACACTTTTCAACAACAATAAAAAGCTTGCAAGACAGAAACATGCAATATTTTAATATAACTGCACAGCAGTTAAAAAGCTTTAGATCATTAACGTGACCTGCAGGGCTTTGCTTGATGTATCAACCTTTGTTTTGCATGAGCACTGCTCTCTGGTTAATTAACTGTTTCCACTGCATAAATATTCACCAGATTATTTCAGTTAGACACATTTTAACAATCAGAATGTTCAAAATCAGCTGAACTGAACATGCAGCAATCGTGTCTAATGGAACAGAAATGAGCATTTTTAGCAGGAATCGTGTATAAATATAAATTCTGATGATGTCATTCTTTAATCACAATAGAAACGTTTATCTTGTTGTACGTAATAATAATGAAAATATACATTAATCTAAAGCTGAGGTGCCCATCTACTGATGTCTGGACACTTCAGTCTCGACTAAAACAACCAAGAAAAAAAGGAACATTATATACTGGTAGTTCTGGAGTTCATTTTGCTGTATGTTGAATATTGTTTTTGCTGAATTTCCATTTTTCATGTGATGCCCACAGTCTGTCTCGACCATAATTTCCTTCCTGGCGGATAACCATTCCACCTTCTTGTTTCTTTTTCAGTGCAGATGCAGCTGGAAGGAGGACCGGTTCCTTTGCTCATCCTTTCAAAAGAGAAAGCACACACACAAAAAGAAGTCATGAATAACCACACACCAAAGACAAACTTCTCATCATGTCTTTCCTCTKCAGGGTGTCTGCTGCTGGGTCAGATTTGAGGAAGCTCACCACCTCTGAATTTGATGGCAGCAGAGAAGTTGTGAGAAAATTTGCAAAGTGATGAATGCTTGAAAAATGTTGGTTTTAAAAGATAAGATAAGATAAAACTTTATTGATCCCACAGTGGGGAAATTTGCACATTACTGCAGCTCAATACAGGAGAGGGTGAGATAGAATAAAAAAGATAAGTAAAAGAAAAAAAGAAAAACAAAAAACACTATACTCATGATATACTGTATATAACAATGTACATATACCTAGTACAGTAAATAAATATATGTATATGAAGGTGCATATGGCAGTGTAGGTGAATTGTCCAAATGACTGATAACATCATGATGTGTTTTACAGTCTAACTGCAGTTGGAATGAACGATCTACGGAAGCGCTCTGTCCTGCAGCGAGGATGTTTAAGTCTCTGACTGAAGGAGCTGCTCAGCCCCCCACAGTTTCATGCAGAGGGTGGTGGGTGTTGTCCATGATGGCTGTCAGCTTTGCTAACATCCTCCTTTCACCCACCACAACCACAGGTTCCAGAGAACATCCCAGCACAGAGCTTGACCTCCGTACCAGTTTGTTTATCTGAAGTAACTTATATGAAGTTATTAGAAATATCACTAACAATCTAAAAACKTTGTTTCATTTCATGCATTTAGCAGCCGTAAAAACAAAACAATAACATAATGATAGTTTCTCTGAAACATGTTTTATTTGTCTAGAACAAGCAGAAGTCAGAGTTAAGACACATGTCAAATTCAAGGCACCCCAATGAGCCCCCCATAATATATATATATATGACCAGGACTGTTCATATTTCACCATAGCCCCAAAAGGAAATGTTAGTTGAGCAAACACTGCTTTATTTAAAGTGGTCTTATATTTAGCATAAGAATCTCTTATATATACTGTGTATATAT